AATACGGCTATAATAAATTGTTTAAGTTGGACAGTATTTCAGAATAAGCGACAGCAATATTTCTTATTGAAGTTTTATAGAATTAGGAATAATATCAATTACGTGTTTGAGTTTGTGTGTGTTAAGCCGCGTTACAAAACTAGTTACAAGATGGCGGCGTGTAGTTCGTAATTACGGATTTCCGTAATATACAGAAAAATGAAAAATATTTAAGTACAATTTTTTTTATTGATTCGGACTCAGAATTGATGGCTGAGTTACCTCCTAGAAAATGATGCGGCTTTAAAACAACACCTTGTATTTAGGAAAATAAATGAGTCATATGAAATCAATTGTAGTTCCGGAAGGAATTTACACAACGTCATCTCTAAGTTATTGAATTTCGATAATTATATATCAATTAATTTTGCCAATTAACAAACTGGTATATCTATATAGGCTTCATTTAATGACTCACTGTTCCTTATATTATAACTGTTAGTGGTTGCTCGGTCCCAATGCGTGATGTTTTACAGCCTAAAGTCTACCTCAATATATTACAGCCTAAAGACTATTAATTATTAAATCAATTGGGTACTTACCTTCATCAAAAATAAATTATTTCGCCTGTAAATACAATATATTCTCACACATAATCTTTTATACATATTGTTTGGACTTTAAAAGAGACGGACCTCTGAGTTTGTTTCAGCATGTCTTCTCAGAGTAGTCAGTTAGGAAATGTCGGCCTCATTGTTCGCTTGATATAATTGACGTGTAGAAGTGCTGCCTTGTAGCCTTTTTTTATGACGGGGGGAAGATTTCAAAAGGCGACTAGCTTTTTGATAAAAGACTAGGCAGTGTGGGATTTTTACCTCACTAAAACCACCCCGGTGGCCATCCTCAACACCTGTATGAAGGCACCGGGTCTTCTAAGTAGTAGTCCTGATGACAGGGTATGAAAATTGAAAATATAATTAGTCCGTAAGTTAGGTAATGAAAAAATATTAGACACGTATTTTTTATTTTCCCATATAATAAAACAATACTTAGATATAACGAATCAAAGTTTAGGAGTTGGGGCTAAAACGTCATTTCTTCGTATAAAATGTATAATAGAAGTGACGTCACGCGACATTTCAAATCACTATATAGTCGAAAGTATTCGTTTCTGTAAGAAAATAAAAAATACGTGTATAATGGTTTAAAATAATCTACAATATGCATCTAACCTATTGAAAAATATCCGGAGACTAGCGCAATCAAACAACAATAAATGTTACTGTTTTCAAAATAAAAACTTCATCATCATCAGCCTTTAAGTATCCCACAGCTGAGAAGCTTCTTACTCGAAGAAGGAACCAACATTAATCACCGCACTTGCTCAAGGCAGATTGGCGATTTAAAACTTACAATTAGAAATTATAAGCCCAGGATTCCTCAAGACTGCCTCGTTGGCCGAGTGGTCGCAAGTGCGACTGCCGGGCAAGGGGTCAAACGGGCAAACAATTACTGGGTTTTAAAAAAAATATCAGTAGTTAGTAGCACGGAGTCTGGAATTGTGCCCGGTATATGGCAATAAGCTCACCCCCTATTACATGGGACTCATAACATACATAGTGAAAAGTGGGTGTTACTTCTGTGTGCATGTTATGTTATGTTATGTTGTTGATTCCTCAAAATGTTTTTCCTTCACCGTTTATCAGTGGTGTCTAATTAATCTTAGAAAGTACATATAACGCGGAAAAAGTCACATTGGTACTTGCCAGGTTTAGACCGGTCCTCACACCATTGAACAAAATCCACTGATCAGCTGATGTTATATTAGAAAACGTAAGTTCACAAGCCGACTATAAAATTTCACAACATACTCCAATGTACGCAAATCTCTGAGACATTGGCCTCAATTTTAATCATAAGCTGTTAAGAAACACCCAAACTGGTTTCTGTATCGCATGATGTATAGAGAAGGTTTTAATTTTAATCTATATTATTGAGAAAGATTAGCTTCTGCCAGCAGCTTCACTCGTGTTCCTGTGGGATAAAAAGTAGCCTATGTGTTATATACATATATAACTTCACGCCTGTCTCCCAGGGGTAGGCAGAGACTAGGGAACTAGGGAATAATAATAACAGATCAAAAGTACGCTTAACTGATGAGCATGCATGAAAAGATTGATGACTGTTGATGAAGTGAAAGAGGTATGTAAGAATCGTAGTAGTTTAAGTGTGGGAGAGCCATGCTTCGGAACGAATGGGCCGGCTCAACCGGAGTGATACCACGGCCTCACAGAAAACCGACGTGAAGCAACGCTTGCGTTGTGTTTCGTCGTGTGAGTGAGGTTACCAGAGGCCCAATTACCCTCCAGTTCCTCAATCTCCCCAATCCCTGAATCCCCAACGATCTTCAAACTCCTAATCCCCAAAAGGCCGGTAACGCACTTGTAACGCCTCTGGTGTTCTAGGTGTCCATGGGCGACGCCGATTGCTTACCATCAGGTGATCCGTCTGCTCGTTTACCGGCTTATGCCATAAAAAGAAAATCCTCAAATTCTTAATCCGCAAAAAACCGGTAACGCACTTTTAAGCCGATGATGACACCTTGAATGAAGATCAACTTTTATTTATATGTACCTATGTATGTATGTATATGCACTTTCGCATACCACTTTTAAAGTACAAGGCCTCAATAATAATAGCTCACGTACATATAATAATTACGTGTGTTAAACAAGAGTTTTAAAATAGTTGCAAAAAAGTAAAAACTATAGTCACACGGCACGGCATGATTTCATTTCTCTGTGGACCTAATGTAAGAATGCAAGAACGCATAGATTTTTCTCACAGATTAAATTATTTAGATTGGCGTTATATAACACTAGCTAGCTACTCCCACGCAATTTCTCCCGCTCTGCTCAGCTTCTGTTGTTCGTAGCGTGATGTTTTATAACCTACTAGCTTTTACCCGCGGCTTCGCTCGCGTCACAAAAGGATAAAAAGTAGCCTATGTGACATAAACCAATACACAGCGCCATCTATACCAATACTTTTGTTTTCCCTCGGGAATATCAATTTTTTCCGGGTTAAAAAGTACCCTATTATATAATCCGGACTTTTAACTTTACGTCTGCAAAAATTCAATGCAATCAGTTTAGTAGTTACGGCGTGAAAGTGGAACAAACAAACAAACTCACTTTCCGATTTATAATATTAGTAAGGATAGCCTTCTTTCATGAATTTGGACTATACAACACAAAAAAAATTATTCAATTCGGACGAGTAGTTTCGGAAATTACATAACATCATAACATCACGCCTTTTATCTCTGAAGGGGTAGGCAGAGGCACACATTACGGCACCTAATGCCACTGTAGAGGTACAATATAACACCCACTTTTCACTATTTATGTTATGAGTCCCATGTAATAGGGGTGAGCCTATTGCCATATACCGCACACATTTCCAGACTCCGTGCTACTATTGAGATTTTTAAAAACCCAGTAATACTTTGCCCGACCCGGGATTCGAACCCGAGACCCCTTGCCCAGCAGTCGCACTTGCGACCACTCGGCCAACGAGGCAATCTTTCGGAAATAAGTGCGTTCATATATACGACTAAGGGACTACATATTTAACAGAGACAGGGCAGCAGATATCTCTGATAAATCAAATCTTCTTAAGCGACCTCTAATCTGTTTGCCAAGCTTGGAGATTATTGCACAACTTGATTTCCCCTAGTCCTTTCCATCATCGTACCACAATACAATCCGCGAAGCGTCACCGATTCATGGTAGATGTCGCCCACACGCACGAAGCGCTGCGCATCAAGCTTCCTTGTGCGTACTGCTAAGGAGTGGAATTCTTTGCCAGAGTCTGTATTTCTTAAAGGGTGGGTGGGTGTCTTCAAGGCCCGAGTGAATAGGTTGCTTATGGGACAACGTGCTCCATCGTAGACCGCATCATCGTGCACCACCAGGCGAGATAGTGGTCAAACGTCGGCCCATAAGCAACCTATAAAACCACATATAAAAAAACTCCCTCTATTAATTTTGAGTACTTTTTTCTGATTTGAAACTGAAATTGGGGAAATGGTTATAGGTATGAAATAATCAATCAATCATCAATCAAACCTTCAAGAAAAGAGCGTATTATATACCACGGGGAGTGCTCTGAGGAATTGTTTGATGCCTGCCGCATCTTTTCGCCACCGACCCTCACGACAGCATATGCATCCCCACCATATAGATGGTTGGCAGGCCACAACTGTGCGCTTCTCACGTAGCTTTCTGCCTCGCACAGCAAAACTGTGGAATGATCTGTCGTCGACGGTATTTCCGAACCGATACGACCTTCAAACCTTCAAGAAAAGAGCGTATTCCTTTTTAAAAGGTCGGCAACGCTCCTGTGACTCCTCTGGTGTTGCGGGTGTCCATGGGCGGCGCTGATCGCTTACCGTCAGATGATCCGCTTCTCGTTTGCCTCCTATTCCATAAAAAAATATATTTTTTAATAAACCTAAGATAAAACTGTGAAAGCTAGATAACAAATTTAATCTAGGTTACCTATTCATATAAATGGACAAGCTATTCAATGCAAAATGCACTTTAGTTTCACGCTTAACATAAGGTTTATGTTTCTTCATACCTACAAATTTTATATTACTTGACGCTTTTGTATGAGTTGATAAGTCATTTTAATAGCGTTGTTACATCAAAATTATGTTTGAGGCATGAGTTCGCATATAAATGTAGTTTTCATAATAGTTGGGTAACAATAACATAACGTCTCTAGTTTATGGGGTATGCAGAGGTTCATTTTATGCTTAATAGAGTGGAATTCTTTGCCTGAGTCTGTATTTCACATAACTTCAAGTGTGGGAGAGCCATGCTTCGGCACGAATGGGCCGGCACGACCGGAGTGATACCACGGCCGAGCAGAAAACCGACGTGAAGCAACGCTTGCGTTGTGTTTTATCGTATGAGTTAGGTTGCCGGAGGCCCAATTACCCTCCTCTTCCCCAATCTCCCCAATCCCTGAATCCCCAACGATCTTCAAACTCCTAATCCCCAAAAGGCTGGTAACGCACTTGTAACGCCTCTAGTGTTCCAGGTGTCCATGGGCGACGCCGATTGCTTACCATCAGGTTATCCGTCTGCTCGTTTACCGGCTTATGCCATAAAAAACGTCTTTTATCCCTGAAGGGGTAGGCAGTGCACATTACGGCACTTAATGCCACTGTACAATGTAACACCCACTTTTCACTATTTTTATGTTATGTATGAGTCCCATGTAATAGGGGGTGAGCCTATTGCCATATAGGTACCGGGCACAATTTCAGATTCCGTGCTACTACTGAGATTTTTTTCTTGTGTTTCCTGAGGGTATAACCTGGGTGTCTTCAAAGCCCGAGTGAATAGGTTGCTCATGGGACGACGTGCTCCATCGTAGACCGCATCATCGTGCACCACCAGGCGAGATAGAGGGCAAACGTCGGCCCATCAAATATATAAAAAATGCATTTCTACATTTTCGACAAGTATGGTGATTATGGCAAAAACGTTCATTTAGGTAACTACATATAGTCTGTCAGTGACTAAAGCTTAGCCGTTTTCACAAACCTCTCTTAAAATTAAAGAAACCCCTAACCTAAGGAAGGTGACCCTTAACAACTTTTTAGTTATCACCAACCTGTAAGGGACACTTAAAGATAAAGCTAAGAGATTGGTTTAGGTGCTTCATCACGCTAAGTAACTCTTAGTTAAGAGATAGTTTCGCAATGGTTCGTAGAAACAGCTATATGTCAAGTAAAGGAAGAGTTTAATAAATATCATTGATAACTGACTTTGAACTTTACTCGTAAAGACATTCGATTCATAATACCTAGCATTTTACGACGAAATTCCTAAATCAATAACATCCACTATAACCTGATCTATTATTGTAAAGGAAGTACTGACGATGCGAGGTCAGCTTATATTGGAGTGGAATTTACGTATAAATTATTTCGACTGTTCAATACAATGAAATATTAAAAAATAATCACACTTTCATTAGTTCATTCATTAATCTAAGTGTGGGAGAGCCAAGCTTCGGTACAAATGGGCCGGCTCGACCGTAGTGATACCACGGCCTCATAGAAAACCGACGTAAGGCAACGCTTGCGTTGTGTTTCGTCGTGTGAGTGAGGTTACCGGCGGCCCAATTACCCTCCCCTTCCCCAATCTCCCCAATCCCTAAATCCCCAACGATCCTCAAACTCCTAATCCCCAAAAGGCCGGTAACGCACTTGTAACGCCTCTGGTGTTCCAGGTGTCCATGGGCGACGCCGAATGCTTACCATCAGGTGATCCGTCTGCTCGTTTACCGGCTTATACCATAAAAAAATTATAATGAATAATTGATTTTATGACCAACTTAATTTTAGTCATTTTGCAGCAAATTTTTAAGAAATAACTACACTGTTTGACGCTAAAAAACGTGACGTCACACAATACACAATCTCGTACAAAATTCATAGAAAACTGTCGTTTTTGACAGTTCCAAAAAAGTATTGAATTTGACTAGTTGGAAAGTACACGATTGTATCATATTTATCTTGCTTCTCTGTTCAGACCTTCTCTGCAAAATATCGATTCACCATAATCCCCAAGCTTGGCAGACGGTTTGGAGATTTCTATCTCAAAGATCAGGTTTATCAGAAAGCACTACTGCTCCTTAGTCTCTGCCTACCCCCATGGGAGACAGGCGTGAAGTTATGTATGTATGTATGTATGTACTACTGCTCGTCTACTATTAAACACTGAATACTTAGTCGGGTATACGACACCCACGGGAAGAGTAGGGGTGGTGACCGTGACAATTGTATTCTCTAATTCTACCTATATGCATCCCACGATAACATGTAGATAAAAACAGATCTTGGGTAAAAAAAAATGTGTAATCTTAACTTTCATTGCAAAACGTCGCGAATCCGAAGGTCGTCTTCCGAAAATTTTTAATCAACGTTGCGCTAGTCATAATGTTTTCGCAATAGACAATGTTCAATATTGAATCACACGTTCTTAGAAGTTAAGCTACGGTTGCCGAGGTCAGAAAGTGGATGGGTGACTATTCACTGACACGTTAATTCTGGTTGTCATTACAAAAATCGCTTCAGATATATCCTACATAACATAACATCACGCCTTTTATCCCCGAAGGGGTAGGCAGAGGTGCACACAGATATAACACCCACTTTTCACTATTTATGTTATGAGTCCCACGTAATAGAGGGTGAGCCTATTGCCATATACCGGGCACAATTCCAGACTCAGATTTTTTTTTAAAAAACCCAGTAATATTTTGCCCGACCCGGGAATCGAACCCGAGACCCCTTGCCCGGCAGTCGCATTTGCGACCACTCCGCCAACGAGACAGGCAGAGATATCCTACTGTCCTACTAATATTAAAAATGCGACTTAGTGAGGTTGAATGTGTGTGTGTTTGTTAATCTGTTACATCAACGCATTTCTTTTAAAAAAATCTTTTACAATTATTATAGTTTGTCTATTCTTTAACAATTATACCTGCTGCCACCCATTTCGTACGCGTTCCCATTGCCTTTAGACCATTAGCCAAATGCCACTTTAGCGCTTGTCTACAGAGAGAGTAGAAAACTAAATGTATGGGGATGACACTGACAAGTGTCAAAATTTACGTCAATTCCATTTAATTTGGTTTTCTATTCTACATGTAGACAAGCGCTAAATGGCATTTGGTTACAGCTGCAGGGTTAAAAAGTAGCCTATCGGTTCTATAGTAGCGGAATGCCCTGCATGGGCTGAGCACCACCGTGCCCTCAGGGAAGTGATCGGCGATGATGGCGACCTCTCGCGTCCGGGCCTAGTGCAGGCCATGATGCGGAGCGAGGGGGACTGGGATGCCGTCTCCTCCTTTTGCGAAGCAGTCATGCTAGCTAAGGAGGTGGCGGGACGCGTGAGGCAGCGAAGCGCTGCCTCTTCGCAACCCAGCTATCGCGTCGGGGATCGCGGGACATACTCCGACCACCGTAAGCGCGGGCCTGCGGGCGGCGAGCATGGGTGGCTCCCCGTCCGACCAGAAACAGACCCGAGCGTACGGCGCGGCTCCTCAAAGAGCCATCAGACCACCACAGATGGGGCCCAATAGGGCCGATGCCGATTCGGAGTCACGGAGAACCTAGCGGGTAACCGGGGCTCCGGCTCGACGTGCAGGAGAAGGAACGGGGTGGTTTTTAGTCAGGAAGAGTCTGACATTTCCTCCCGCCTTACCCAGGCGGGAGCAGTCATTCGATGATTTTCCCCCCTTAAAATAAAGTCGGTTCTATAGTTATAGCGTAAAGTCCACTGCGGACAACCTAACTTTCGACAAACTCATATTTGCGTTTGGTACTATAACTGTGTCTAGGGATCGAGCCGCACAATTAAGTTTGTTTTTGTGTATATACTGTTACGGGATAAAAACCCAGTGTTGTGCCCAGGATATTAAAGTATATACTCATTTCAAGTTTCATCGTAATTGGCCTTCTGGGAATAGAGAATTTTAGAATGGTGGGGGATTCTGGGATTGGGGAGACTGTGGAGGGGGGTGAGGTAATTGGGCATCCGATAACCTCATTCACGCGACGAAACACGACGCAAGTGTTCTTACACGTCGGTTTTTTGCTCGGCCGTGATTCCGGTTTATGACTCCGGTCGAGCCGGCCCATTCATGTCGAAGCATTGCTCTCCCAGTCCCCGAATCCCCCACAATCCCTAAAATTTCCAATACCCAAAACGCCGGTAACGCACTTGTAATGCCTTAGTGTTTCAGGTATCCATGGACGAAGCCGATTGCTTACCATCAGGTGATCCGTCTGCTCGTTTACCGGCTTATCCCATAAAAAACGTAACACAGAGACGATAGCTACTTTTTTACACACCCAGCGTAAATTCCATAGTGAATCATAGTTAATGAAATGTTTTGCATGAAAATAATGCAATAAAACTATAATTACTGTAATATCTTATACTATTATATAAAGCGGAAGAGTTTGTTTTTTTGTTTGTTTGTTCGAACGCGCTAATCTCCGTAACTACAAGTCTGATTTGAAAAATTATTTTTGTGTTGGATAGCGCATTTATCGAGGATGGCTATAGGCTGTAAAATATCACGCTACGATTAATAGGAGCTGAACAGAGCGTGAAACTGCGCGGAAGTAACTAGTAATGTATATAGCTACTTTTATGAATGTAAGACTTCACATGGAGCTAAAAGAACCAGATTATCATGATCTCTCTTTATATGAACATTGCCCACTGTCGACGGTCAATTTATACTGGTTTCTTTGGCTTGATGCATGCAGCCAAACAAACCAGGTTATCGTGACCTTTCTTTGTATGAACATTGCCCACATTCAGCGGTCAAAATATACTGGATTTATTAGCTTAATACTTGGAACAAAACAAACCAATTTATCATGATCTCTCTTTATATGAACGTTGCCCACTGTCGACGGTCAATTTATACTGGTTAGTATAGTTTGATATGTACAGTCGGCCAGGCTATTTAGTATGAAGACGTACGAAAACAAAATTCTTATTAAAAAAACGACTTCAACAACCTCTTATTTTGAAGTTGGTTAATTAATATAGGTACTGAGAACCTAACGGGTTACCGGGGCTCCGGCTCGAAATGCAGGAGAAGGAACGGGGTGGTTTTTAGTCAGTAAGAGTCTGACACTCCCTCCCGCCTCACCCAGGCGTTAGCAGTCATTCGATGATTTTCCCCCCCCTAACCTTTAACTACTGACGTGGGTGTCTCATAGATGGCGTGTTCACGAATGAGTATAAGAATTTTCCAAAAAACGTCCAAATAATTGTATTGTAGCTAAGATTGTAACATACCTATATTTTTAAGCTATGTAAAATATTTATATTTTAAGTTTATAGAATTTGAATCAAAAACCGCTGATTTCATTCGAAAATATTGTTTTTTTGCACTTCCTTAATAGAATTATAATGGACCGATCATAATACAAGTAAATATTGTGCAAATCAGTAAATGAAAGTAATCCATTTCAATTATATATTAAGATGTTTGACATACTGCCTCGTTGGCCGAGTGGTCGCAATTGCGACTGCCGGGTAAGGGGTCTCGGGTTCGATTCCCGGGTCGGGCAAAGTATTACTGGGTTTTTAAAAAATTCTCAGTAGTAGCACGGAGTCTGGAACTGTGCCCGGTATATGGCAATAGGCTCACCCCCTATTACATGGGACTCATAAAATAAATAGTGAAAAGTGGGTGTTACATTGTACAGTGGTATAATGTGCACCTCTGCCAACCCCTTCGAGGATAAAAGGCGTGATGTTATGTTATGTTTGACATACGTCACGTCACCATATATGGTATGAATAAACCACGTCAGGACTTGAAGGTTAAAAAAATGCCCAACACTGATATTCAGATGGCACCCTGCAGTGACTCAGGAACTACTTAGGTATTTTTCAGTGATTTTATAGATTGTGTGGAACCTTCAGTGCGCAAGTCCGGCTCGCACTTGACCGGGTTTTCCTTATAAATGTAATTATGAGGTCGTAAACCTTGTCTATGTATGAAAACCCCATGTTTTTGTACAATCTTTACAATTAGCCATTGTAATGCCACTGCTATGCAGGGATGCGCAGTTTCACTCACTCTGCTCGGCTCTTTTTAGTCGTAGCGTGAAGTTTTATAGCCTATACTCTTCCTCGATAAATGGGCTATCCAACAATAAAAGATTTTTTCAAATCGTACCTGTAGTTCCTGAGATGAGCACGTCCAAACAAAGAAACTCTTCAGTTTTATATGTAGAGGTATAATATGTAGTATAAGATAAGATTAGTATTTTATATATACAATAATTTAATAACAATATACATTTAAAAAAAGTAGGTAGTAGCACGGAGTCTGGAAATGTGCCCGGTATACAGCAATAGGCTCACCACCTATTACATGGGACTCAACATAAATAGTGAAAAGTGGGTGTTACATTGTACAATGGCATTAAGTGCCGTAATGTGCACCTCTGCCTACCCCTTCGGAGATAAAAGGCATGATGTGATGTTATACATATACAGTAGCGGACCCAACAGACGTTGTCCTGCATATCCACTTGAATGTATAAACAAAAATTCATTAAAATTAGTTCAGCTGTTTAGGATAAATAACCTAAACATCAACTGCAGCGCCATCTGCCGGGCTGATTTGTGAATCTAAACCATTCCCAGATCCTCTTGAACACACACAAAAAATTTCATCAAAATCGGTCCAATCGTTTGAGAGAAGTTCAGTGACATACACACTCACAGAAAAATTATATATATAAAGATATATATAAGATTTACAAGTAAGTTTCCACATAAACAAAGTATTTTTTACACATATCTTATGGAAAATAAACTCGTGGTTAACCCAGATCAAACTAATTGTAGATATGAGTAACCGCTGATCATCGTGCATGGTCTATGCAAGTCATTAACTTAGATGACGCGTCATCATTGCGATGACCCGTCATTACATTACTCCATGATCGGCCATTCAAACGATTAAATGATCACATTGTTATTTTACAGAATAACAAGTAATTTTTTATGTTTATTGAGCTCTATTCTATTCTACCAATCAAGTCCTTTCGTTTTATATCCATAATGGAGGTAGTTGTGGATACAATAGACATCTTAGAACATAATTTTTACCTCTATTTTACAACCAAGTAACACAAGATAATAAAATGCTTATTATTAAATATATATACCTAACTGCATAAATATTTACAACTTAAAATTAAGAAACAATTAGATTATATTGTATAGCTTTTACCCGCAGCTTCGCTCGCGTCACAAAAGGATAAAAAGTAGCCTATGTGACATATATCAATACACACAGCGCCATCTATACTAATACTTTTTTTCCCTCGGGAATATCAAATTTTTCCGGGATATAAAGTACCCTATTATTTAATCAGGACTTCGAACTTTACGTCTGCAAAAATTCAAAGCAATGGGTTTAGTAGTTACGGCGTGAAAGTGGAACAAACAAACTCACTTTCCGATTTATAATATTAGTAAGGATATGTAACAACATAAATATTTGCAACTTATAATTAAGAAACAATTGATTATATTGTATGGTCATCAAGATTAAGAGTGTGTACCAAATATCAGATCGATCTGTCGCCAGGAAGGAGGTGAAATTCTAATCACTTAACCTAAACCATCAAACTAACAAGTCCAGCTATGCAAGGCTGCCTGTTTCTGTCAATTTTTTTAAATTATTTTGGGGTAACCCCACCACAACCTCCCAAAAGCTCTATAACTTCTGTGCACCAGAACGTACAGTAGATACAACCATGCAAATACTGAAACACTGAAGTCCAACGTCCCAGGGACATGAACAACTGTCTTGGACCCCGCAAGGAATATATCAGAAGATATTAGAGGTATTGGAGAACAAGATAGGGAATATCGTGGCCGGTAGAGCAATAGGCTCACCCCCTATTACATGGGACTCATAACATAAATAGTGAAAAGCGGTTACATGATATAAATATATTTACTCATGGATTAAAAGTAAAAGGTTAACAGAGCGGTTATGAATGGGGCCGTTGGTAGATGGCGCCCTAGACAGACATATACTGACCAGATTAGCGATATATTAAAGAAGGGGCAAATTAAAAGTACCCTTAACCGACAAGTATACATAAAAAGATTGATGACTGTTGATAGAGCGAAAGAGGTATGTAGGAATCGTAGTAATTGGTGTTCCATAGTCTCTGCCTATCCCTATGGGAGACAGGCGTGAAGTTGTATGTATGTAAAAGGTTAGCTTATAAAACGCAAACACATATAGGTTCATTATTATGTACGGCAAACGTTTCTGAGATGTGTTTAAACAAACGGATGTCACCGTAGACCAGTGGACACTATGTCTATGCTAACAAGTGCTTAGTAAATATAGGAAATGTAGTTAAGTGAATTATTTACTATGTTTTCGGCTTACTCACGTGAATGTTTGACGAGGAACTCGACTAGTTTCAAGCCATGCTAGAGGATCATATTCATGAGCAGCATTCCGTGACCCGCGACGCTGCTACTGCGCTTCAATTAGTTACGTGAGTAATCCAAAAACATAGTAATTAATATAATATAGTTAGTATTTTTTAAGGGGAGAAAATCATTGAATTACTTTTCCCGCCTGAGGGAGTGTCAGACTCTTACTGACTAAAAACCACCCCGTTCCTTCTCCTGCACGTCGACCCGGAGCCCCGGTAACCCGTCAGGTTCTGTCTTACGAATAATCCTTACTAATATTATAAATGGGATAGTGAGTTTGTTTGTTTGTTCCGATTTCACGCCGTAACTACTAAACCGATTGCTTTGAATTTTTGCAGACGTAAAGTTAGAAGTCTGGATTAATTAATAGGGTACTTTTTATCCCGGAAAAATTTGATATTCCCGAGGGAACACAAAAGTATTGGTATAGATGGCGCTGTATGTATTGGTATATATCACATAGGCTACTTCTATCCTTTTGTGACGAGAGCGAAGCCGCGGGTAAAAGCTAGTAAAATGGACAAAAGGAGTGATGTTGTGATGGTTGGATGTGAAGCACTGAAGATCGAACTCAATGGCATGCTATTTGAATAGACCTATCTTCATTCACTGCATTACATTCACCAAGGGAAGTGGAAACGTAAATATTCTTCTTCTCTTATAATATCTTCTGATTCACTTCGTTGCGGGAACCAAGACAGTTGTTCATGTCCCTGGGACGTTGGACTTCAGTGTCCCGGTGTTTGCATGGTTGTATCTACTGTAGATCCTGGCTTACAAGAGTTGCAGCGGTTTTGGGAGGTTGTGGCGGACTTGTTCCAATACAAAACCCTATAGCCTCGATAAATCGACCATTTCTTTTTCATTTTCAACATCATGTTATTGTTTGGGAACTTTTGAATACAATTTACGATAGTTTTATATTTTTTTATATTAGATGGGACTGACGTTTGACCACTATATCATAACTAATACATATATAACAAATGACAAAAACAAAATGAATTAAGGACTAGAACTACTAATACAAATAAAAATATTATCTGTAAAACTAAAGACTGAAATTAGTGAAACAAACAGAAATATTATCTACACTATTTTTCATAATATGCATCCCCATCATATAGATGGTTGGCAGGCCACAACTGTGCGCTTCTCACGTAGCTTCCTGCCTCGCACAGCAAAACTGTGGAATGATCTGTCGTCGGCGGTATTTCCGAACCGATACGACCTTCAAACCTTCAAGAGAAGAGCGTACTCCTTTTTAAAAGGCCATCAACGCACCTGTGACTCCTCTGGTCTTGCGGGTGTCCATGGGCGGCGCTGATCGCTTACCATCAGGTGATAGGTCTGCTCGTTTGCCTCCTATTCCATAAAAAACTAATAATATAAAGATGAAAGATTAAATTTTTTGTTTACCAGAAGTCATTATTATACGCGGATGAAGTCGCGGGAAATAGCCATTCTATATATGAAATGCTAATACATAAACCATTGCAGCTACACCAGTGGTTGGTCGAGCCACCAGGTTATAAAACAACCAATAAGAGTTATTCAATTCCAATGAGTTCCGTAGATTAGCGCGATGGAACAAACATCATGCATCTATAGTAGTTATGACAAGTGAAACAAGTGAATTGATTTCTGCAAATAGGCTACTACAAGGCAGCACTTTTACATGTCAATTTTATCAAGCGAACAATGAGGTCGACATTTCCTAACTGACTACTCTGAGAGGAAATGCCGAAACAAACTCAGAGGTCTGTCTCTTTTAAAGTCCAGACAAATATGTATAAAATATTATGTGTGAGAACTGTGCAAGTTCTTTCTGTAGTGGCCTTTTGAGGAAAGAACCACAACAGTTAGAGCGGACCCGTTCTGAAGGCAGTACGCATGTGTCGGTTTACAGTCAGCTCAATTAACAGGTGAGGCTGACTGATTTGACGAACAATACCAACCTAAAGAACATTTGCCCCACGCACAAACACTCAAAGCGTGACAGCAGCGTGACTAACAAATTACTTAGCGTTGTAAGAACTGATTTAGTTTAATAAGAAACAATAGTATCGTTGTTTATTTAAATAATTTAAAATAAAACATTTTTGTCCATAACATTATGGTTTACAGCGTCCGTCGTCCTATTCAGATTCAGAGAAGTAAATTATTTAAAATACAAGTATCTGAAATACAGATACAAAATTGTATCTGTATTTTGAAATACTTTTTTAAAATTCCATTTTATATCTTGTATTTAATATTTAAATACCAATACTTACTTTACTTTACTTTACGCTTTTAGATACCAATGTCAATAATATTTTGTATCTGGTATCTGAAATACTTAATTTTAAAGTATTTTACATTTTGTATTTCAGATTTTTTGTATTGGGTATTTTATACATCACTGTTCATACCATCATACGATTAAATCTCATCGTCCCACGATGAGATTAAACACACATTTCTTTAGAATGTCCTAATTGAAGCTTGCAAATTGCGTAAGCACAAGGTTAATCTCGTCGTAAGATGAAATCACATAGTTCAATCGTACGAATACGTTTTAGTGGATGCATGCATGGATCTCACCATGCTTCGGCACTGCTGGGCTGACTCGACCGGAGTGATACCACGTCCTTACAGAAAACCGACGTGAAGCAACGCTTGCGTTGTGTTTCGTCGTATGAGTGAGGTTACCGGAGGCCCAATTACCCTCCTCTTCCCCAATCTCCCCAATCCCTGAATCTGAAAACTCAAACTCCTAATTCCCAAAAGGCCGGTACCGCACTTGGAACGCCTCTGGTGTTCCAGGTGTCCATGGGCGACGCCGATTGCTTACCATCAGGTGATCTGTCGGCTCGTTTACCGGCAAATGCCATAAAAAAAAAAAATAATGACACAGTGTGAGCAGTGCCCCTTATATTTGCCATAAGTCTCCCTGGAAATCCCAAATGTTATGTTATGTTACATTTATAGCAATGATAATATAGTTTATATCATTAATTTGTATGTTTGTCACGTTAAAGCCTTGGCAACTAACGCGCAGCGACAAACACAGCATACTAACTTTTTATCAAGTCAGATAGCATTAGTTTGGATTAGACTATCGTTATAAATTAGGCATTTTAAGTGTAATTTAACAAAGGATTTAAAACAAAGTATAATTAATTTATCACCATCCCTACTCCTCCCGTGGGTGTCACATACCCGACTATGATACTACACGTTTAATCAGAGAACGCTGCTGTTCTACTTTGTCGGTAAACCAACAGACGGATCACCTGATGGTAAGCAATCGGCGTCGTCCACACCTCAAACACCAGAGGCGTTACAAGTGCGTTATCAGCCTTTTGGGGATTGGGAATTTGAGGATTGTGGGGGTTCGGGTATTATGGAGACTGAGGAGGAGAGTAACTGGCCTCCGGTAACCTCAAGACGAAACGCAACGCAAGCGCTGTTTCAAACTACCGCAGATGGGGCCAATAGGGCTGATGCCGATACGGAGCCGCAGAAGACTTAACAGGATACCGGGGCTCCGGCTCGAAGTGCAGGAGTAAGAACGGGGTGGTTTTTAGTCAGTAAGAGTCTGACACTCCCTCCCGCCTCACCCGGACGAGAGAAGTAATTGGACGATTTTTGTCCGCAAATGTTGTTTCACGTCGATTTTCTGTGATGCCGCGGTATAACTTCGGTCGAGCCGGCCCATTCGTGCTGAAGCATGGCTACCTCACACTTAGGGTTGCCAACTTTTTGAGTATATCTGATTTTAAAGGAGGTAAATAAAGAGTACGGACTTCAAAAAAGAGTATCATTTATTTTATGATTAATAAAAAAAAAATTCGTAGGTTTTGTTTCATCAGTCTAATTAGCTCGATATAGGTTGTTGCTCGATGTCTATACTTCAATTTGGTTCAGTACTTTCATAACAGAGTGGTATTGTGTCAAGTTAAGTAAACATTGTGTTAAAAAGAGTATTTTAGCGTCCTCTATTAGTGTTATAGATTATAGAGTACGCCTACATGATAGAGGACAATACTCCGGAGTCTGACACTCTCTGGCCTCACCCAGGCCGGGAGGTGTCATTGAATGATATAAAACATGTTCTACACTACAAACAATAGTTTATAATCCTGTTGTAACACATTCCCATAATAATTATAAGTTTGCGAAACGTTTCTAGACTAATTAACAATAATTAATTACATCGATGGCTAAGTTACGTAACGTTGTACCCACGCCGTGTACAGCCTTCAATGTAATGCGTGTTACTTTGTTTATACGGAATATAAATTGGTTTATTATTTTACTAGTTGTACATTGTGATTTTGTCTGCATTCTGCACGTAGCAGTTGTAATATTTCAGTAGTAAATAATATTAACGTGAATATAACCAACCCCAGGGCCTTTACTCTTGAAACCAATCTCAATGTCAATGCATTTTCAATCCAATAAAATCTCAATAATTATTCAATGTCAATACTATACAACCCCAACCGTAGCTGTTAAAATACCATTCAGAGTACGGAATATAAAGCCAAACTCAATACCCATTTTGTTCATTAAACATCCACGCAATACGGATGCAATGGGCGCTAGTGTTGCAACTCAAGAGTACATAATAATATCAACGTCGATCGATTGGAATTGGATTTAAGATTTCAAAATTAAGAGCTCGTAGACAAAACTGCGATGCGATGCGAATTTGCAACGCAAAAAATTACGATGCGAATTGATGCGATGCGATTTCGTGCGACAAGGCGTCTCCCAGGGTGACCATTCCTTCGACGACCGTCAACCGTACTAAACGTATTTTAAATTGAAAACTAGGTCGTGACATGGATCGTAAACAGAAGTGTGCACTTCTGTTATTGCTTAGGAGATACAGGAAAAAGAAACAAAGAAGATAAGATTTTGATGCGCGATGCGAATCAATTCGCAAGTTCTTGTGATGCGTAGAGGGAGCTCGCACATTTTTGTGATGCGACGTCGCATCGCAGTTTTGTGTTTTAGTTTTTCGCTAAGTAAATAAAACACATACATATCGTCACGTCTGTCTCCCATTGGGGTAGGCAGAGACAATTGAAGCACGCCAAATGGTATTATGCTAATAAAATTATGACGTTATAATTATTATTTACCTACTAGCTTTTATCCGCAGCTTCGCTCGCGTCACAAAAGGATAAAAAGTAGCCTATGTGACATATACACACAGCGCCATCTATACCAATTCTTTTGTTTTGAATATCATTTTTTCGGGGATAAAAAGTACCTTATTATTTAATCTGGACTTCTAACTTTACGTCTGCAAAATTTCAAAGCAATCGGTTTAGTAGTTACGACGTGAAAGCGGAACAAACAAACTCACTTTCCTATTTATAATATTAGTAAGGATAATGATAACTCAATGAATTGCGTGAGTTAGAAAACAATAGAATTATCTAGTTAGGTAGATATATTCCGTGCAACATCTTACTATTAAACTGTTATAAATCAGTATATATGAATAAATTACTTACACCTAATTACTGAATTGTTTTGTCGTACAATTACGCCGGTTGATCATATAAAATTATTGGAAAATTTTTAAAAAGCTGACCAAGTGAGTTTTTTTCGTATGGTGTGGACTTCTGCCAAACCCTCTGGTAAAATAAGGCTTTATACTAGGTTATATTATTGTATCAAAGCCTCCACCTATCCCTTCGAGTAATATTAGACATAAGACTAACAATTATAAATATTTTAACAATAATTTATTCTTTCTAGATCATGGCGCCATCTGTGAATATAGCCGAGTACTACGCAGGCAAAACGCTCTTTATCACAGGAGCCACCGGTTTTATGGGGAAGGTGATGGTGGAGAAACTCCTCAGGGATTGTTCTGATGTCAAGAAGATGTACTTACTCATGAGGCCTAAGAAGGGGCATAGCAGTAAAGAGAGATTGGACGAACTTTTAAATTTTAAGGTTTGTAACGCCATCTAGTATCGAGTAGTGGAACTAGTACTAAGATTCTAGGATTGTGTGTAATATTTTTTTATGAATCTATGAGAATGAATGAATCCTTGTGAAATATCGGGATTCTAAAGTCAAAACGTTTCAGATTCGATTCTCGGAATTTTTAACTAAATTAAGTCCGCAGTGTTTTGTAAAGTTAATATAATTATGTATTTCTAATACAATTTTCAGATATTCGATCGCCTGAAAGCTGAAAATCCGAAATTGTTCGAGAAACTGCAAGTCGTAGCCGGAGACATATTGTCAGAGGACCTCGGTCTATCGGCAGAAGATCGTCTTCTGATACAGGAAGAAGCACAGATCATATTCCATTGCGCTGCTTGCGTGAGGTTAGTAATTAATACATAATAATTAATTTAATATATTTGAGACAAAAGTTATAATAAAAGTTATATATCTATACAATATTCTTATTTTCGAAAGAGTTATAACTAACTGCTGTGTTGACTGCCTCGTTGGCCGAGTGGTCGCAAGTCCGACTGCCGGGCAAGGGGTCTCGGGTTCGATTCCCGGGTCGGGCAAAATTTACTGGGCATTTTCAAACAATCTGAGTAGTAGCACGGAGTCTGGAATTGTGCCCAGTATATGGCAATAGGCTCACCCCCTATTACGTAGGACTCATAACATAAATAGTGAAAAGTGGCCTACCCCTTTGGGGATAAACGGCGTGATGTTATGTTATGATGATGTTATGTTATGTTGTAACTAACAATCCTCAAATATACGTAAGTTGCTCGAAATAGGGATCGAATATTTACTCGATTAGTCATTCTGCCAGTAAAAATATTAATTCTTATGTTTTCGGCTTACTCACGTAGGTAATTATTTGACGAGGAACTCGACTAGTTTCAAGCCATGATAGAGGATCGTAATCATGAGCAGCATTTCGCGACCCGCGACGCGGCGACTGTCGCACTGAAAGAAAGAAAGAAAAACAATTAATTCGTCATTAGGCATGACCCACCAAATATACAAACATAAAATAAAATTGAAATAAAAAATGAAAAAACAATAATAACATAAAATAACATTCAAAACAGCAGCGAAAAACAACAAAAGCAACAAAACAATGATTAGATCTTAAAGCCATTTTTGAAAAGCAATAATTAATTATAGGGTAGTTTCCTAAATTTTATTTTAATGTCTGTCTGGTAGATTAATTTAAAACTTTAGACACGTATTTTTTCTTTTCTCACAAAATTAAATACTTTCGACGATACAATAATTTGAAATATCGTGTGACGTCACAGCGTGCCACATTTTGTAGCACGTTATGACGTACGGACCTCCCACTCCTAAACTTAGCGCCATTTTATCTAAGTATTGCAACTTAATATGAGATAATAAAACAATACGTGTCTAATATTTTTTTCATTATCTAACTGACGGACTAATTAGATTTTTATTTTTGATACCCTGGAAACTACCCATTTGTGTGTGAATTGTACATTTAGATCATTCCACGGAGAAGATTATTTTATCAACATAATTTGTACAATTGTTTTCAGATTCGACATGTTCCTGCGTGATGCTGTAAAGATGAACACAATGGGTACCAAGAAAGTATTGGAGCTGGCTGAGGGGGTCAAGAACTTGGAGGTATGAATATTTATCTCATCATCAGACCAGTGAGCTTACTCTTGAATCCAATTCTGATCAATCCACATTGACATTTTGAAATTTCATACTCTTGAGTCGCAACACTAGCACCCATTGCATCCGTATTGCGCGGATATTGAATGAACTAATTGGTATTGAGGTTGGCCTTGGCCTTAAGTGGAGAAAGCTATGGCTTTCTCCACTTTCGTAGACTTAATATACATCTCACCCAAACCTGGGTACTTACTCTTGTAACCAATCTCAATGTCAATGCAATTTCAATCCTATAAAATCTCAATAATTATTCAATTTCAATACCTTGTGCCTTGTAGCCTATTTGCAGAAATAAATTCACTTGTTTCATCATTAATGTATCCCTTATCCTCATTGACCTAAAGTCTACATTCCTCCATCAGGCCTTCGTCCACGTGTCGACATCATACTGCCGCTGCGAGCTGCCGTTGTTTGAGGAGAAGCTGTACCCTTCGAAGCATAGACCTGAACATGTGATGCACTGCGTCAACTGGATGGATGACGAGCTTCTTGGACATTTGCAGCCGAAGTAAGGAATTTGGAACTATAATAATAATTATGAAGAAAGTCGTATCGTATCGGCCAATGGGTTAATCCCTAATAGCCTCGACAACCACCTTAGGAGGCTAGCGTTAGGTAGTTGGGTCAAGGGCCTGATACAGAAGGCAGTTCTCCTAGAAACGGCACGTATCGTGAGGAGGTTTCTGTCTCTGGAGCCCTAACCACCGGTAGCTTGGACCATGCTCCCGCTACTGGTCGGCTCCTATTTTTTATATTTTTAAATATTATTTTTATGTTTTTGTAAGTAGTATTTAAAAATGTATTTTATAGAGAATTTAAAATAAATGTATGGAAATTATGAAGAAAAAAAATTACAAGTGATTGTTTAGTGATCCATAAGTTTGATGACTGTTGAATAAGAGGTTTCGGGTTCGATTCCGTTTTTAGAATTGTATTCATGCAAAAATTTTGTAGGTAGATTTTCAAAGTACTTCCTTTATTGCTACCAAAAACGTGTGTCGACAATATATTATAATATTTTGCAATTCGAAAATCTTAATATTACTTTTCCCAATCTAAGAATCAAACGCAAGACATCTTTTATATTTGCGGACACTCAACTCTGCAAGCTTCCGACCAACGAGCCATCTATTCTGTTCTATTATTAGATATAGTAGACAACTAGATTTTTAACAAATATTTACTTTCCAGAATAATCGAACCGCAACCCAACACGTATGCTTACACCAAGTCTTTGACTGAAGATCTGGTATCACAGTACGAGGGCAAATTCCCCATCGTGATCGCACGGCCATCTATCGGTGAGTAGTGGAAGTAATAATACTAGAATTATCTTCAGTTATGGCAATAGGCTCACCCCCTATTACATGGGACTCATAACATAAATAGTGAAAAGTGGGTGTTACATTGTACAGTGGTATAATGTGCACCTCTGCCTACCTCTTCGAGGATAAAAGGCGTGTTGTTATGTGTTATGTTATCCTTAGTTACTAACTTACCTACTACGACTTATCGTCATAATTAAGACCTATCCCTCGATAAGTGTCGCGGAGAACCTAACGGGTAACCGGGGCTCCGGCTCGACGTGCAGGAGAAGGAACGGGGTGGTTTTTAGTCAGTAAGACTCTGATACTACCTCCCGCCTCACCCAGGTGGGAGCAGACATTCGATGATTTTCCCCCTTAAAAAAAAATCCCTCGATAAGTATCACAGATGGGGCCCAACAGGGCCGATTCCGATTTGGAGTCGCGGAGAACCTAACGGGTAACCGGGGCTCCGGCTCGACGTGCAGGAGAAGGAACGGGGTGGTTTTTAGTCAGTAAGAGTCTGACACTCCCTCCCGCCTCACCCAGGCGGGAGCAGTCAATCGATGATTTTCCCCTTAACAAAAAAAAAATGCCTCGATAAGTGAATCTCAGTTTTAGGACATAAAATTTACTGGTGCCACGTCTTTATCAACAGCCACGTACTATCCTCTACCCCCCACAGTCCATCGCGAGGTTGGAACTGACCTGTTCTCCGCGACTCCGAATCGGCATCGGCCCTGTTGGGCCCCGACTGTGGTACTTATCGAGGAATAGGTCTTAATTATGACGATAAGTCGTAGTAGGTAAGTTGGTAACTGAGGATAACATAACACATAACATTACGCCTTTTATCCCCGAAGGGGTAGGCAGAGGTGCACATTACGGCACTTAATGCCATTGTACAATGTAACACCCACTTTTCACTATTTATGTTATGAGTCCCATGTAATAGGGGGTGAGCTTATTGTCATATACCGGGCACATTTCCAGACTCCGTGCTACTACTGAGGTTTTTACAAACCCAGTAATACTTTGCCCGACCCGAGACCCCTTGCCCGGCAGTCGCACTTGCGACCACTCGGCCAATGAGGCAGTCACTCTATCACTATCATTCCACACAGTCTACTTTAATTTTAATCTTTGTTATTTTTATTCCCAGTGGCTGCAGCTTATAAAGAACCCCTACCAGGTTGGGTGGACAACCTGAATGGACCTACTGGCCTATTAGTTGGAGCTGGCAAAGGTAATAAACTTCATACTCAGTAGCCTGGTTAGAAAACGCTATTAAAAAGGTTTGTCACAGAGCGTTGTCTCCAGACGTCTGTTAAATGTATAGTGCCCCTGTCGGGTATATGACACCCACGTGAAGAGTAGCGGTGGTAACAAACGTCTTACCATTTTGTTCTTTACTGTTTTGCGGTATCATGTTAAAAGTGTGATCCCTTAGTTGGGTATACGAAACCCACGTCAAGAGGTGTGTTGGCCATCACGATTTAAGTACCTTTGTTCATTACTAGACTGTTTTACTTATTTCCAGGTGTAATCCGTACAATGCATTGCAATGAGAACTATGAAGCTGATGTAGTACCTGTCGATGTGACGGTGAATGCCTGCATCATTCTTGGATACCTCACTGGCGTGGAGCAGTAAGTCATTTATATCTTTATATATATAATTCTGCCGGGCAAGGGGTCTCGGGTTTGATTCCCGGGTCGGGCAAAGTACTACTGGGTTTTAAAAATTCTCAGTGGTAGCACGGACTCTGTGAATTGTGTCCGGTATACGGCAATAGACTCACCCTCTATTACATGGGATTCATAACATAAATAGTGAAAAGTGGGTGTTACATTATACAGTGGCATTAAGTGCCGTAATGTGCGCCTATGCCCCCTACCCCTTCGGGGATAAATTATGTAATGTTATGTTTTATCCACATAATACGGTAGTTGGCAACTACTCAAAATCAATACTTTTATGGAAATGTCAAAAACTATACTTTTCTATGAATTTTGTATTGAATCGCAACTTATGACGTCGTCATATTTCTGCGTCAAACAGCATACTTATTTCCTTAAAATTAGCGAGAAAAAATCCAAAAGTAGGTACCTAAATTGTCAAATCAATGGATGATAGTATGATTATTTTGACGTGACAACGTCTTATAAATTGGTTTGCCGGGTGACACTTCAAGAAACTGCGTTACGCTCCGCTCACATTATGCGCTCACAATGAGAGCGAGTGAGAGGCACGCGTCCCTTCCACTCGGGCATGGTTAGCCCGCCTAAGAGCGAGAGAGACAGACATAAAAAGTGAAAGGCACGCGTCCCTTCCACTCGAGCACAGTTAGCCCGCCTAAGAGCGAGAAAGACAGAGCGAGAGAGAGAGTGAGAGAGATAGTAGATAGTTACTATTATTTCATCCTTCTTCTTACTATACGAATGAATATTCACATTAAAATTATTTTACCACTCAAAGTCGTTGTCACGTAAAAGTTTCGCCCGTATACCGACTTTACAGGCAACCAATTTTTTTTTTTAATTATTTATTGCATTGAAAAGTTGAAACAATTTATTTTAAACCTAGGATACTAGACAATTACTTCTACAATCTTATCTTCTTTTCCAGGCCCAAGAAGATAAACTTCTGTAACATTACGCAGTCACAAATCAACCCCATTACCTGGGGCCAAGCTCTGGATATGGGTAAGCTCATTCATTTTCGCTTATAACTTGTAATTTTCTATCAAAACCTGTCTAGCTTTCTGCCTCGCACAGCAAAACTGTGGAATGATCTATCGTCGGCGATATGATCAAACCGATACGACCTTCAAACCTTCAAGAAAAGAGCGTATTCCTTTTTAAAAGGCCGGCAACGCGCCTGTGACTCCTCTGGTGTTCCAGGTGTCTATGGGCGGCGCTGATTGCTTACCATCAGGAAAAAATCTACTTGCAAAAGTCTTTTCTCACAAATCTAAGACACTGAAAATACTTAATAATAATTAGTTTGGTGGAATCAAAGTCGCAATTATCTTGATCAGCATACGACCATTACCCAACCAGGAAATCTAAACAATCGAATTCTGTTATCATGTGTTTTTTTTTTATTTATGGAATAAGTCGGTAAACGAGCAGACGGATCACCTGATGGTAAGCAATCAACGCTGCCCATGGACACACAAAACACCAAAGGTATTACAAGTGGGTTACCGGCATTTTGAGGATTAGGAATTTGAAGATTTTTGATGATTCGGAGATTGGAGGTATTTGGGCCTCCGGTAACCTCACTCACACGACGAAATACAACGCAAGCGTTGCTTAACGTCACTTTTCTGCTCGGCCGTGGTATCACTCCGGTCGAGTCGGCCCATTCGAGCAGAAGCATGGCTCTCCCACACTTTGAAATGACTAAATGCATGGAAAATTAGAGAACGACCAAAGAAAAGATGAACGGATTGTAAAAGAAATGTTTTTTTAAATGGGAAACGAACAGACGGATCACCTGATGGTAAGCAATCGGCGTCGCCCATGAACAATTGGACACCTGCAATACTAGAGGAGAAACTAGTGCGTTGCCAGCCTTTTAGGGATTCGAGGATTACAGATGAAACGGAAAAGACGATCGTCACTCCGATAACCTCACTCACAGCTGCACACAATGCTGTGGTAGTGTCACGCCGGTGTACTGTGAGGCCGTGGTATCACGCCGGTCGAACCGACACAACAGTGCCGAACCAAGGGTCTACCACGTCATTCATTTGTTTATATCTTTAATTCATTTTGCAGGCAGGGTCCATGTTCAAGAGTTCCCGTTCACCGTCTGCCTCTGGTACCCTGGTGGATCTGCCAAGAGCTCCTGGATAGCCCACCAGTTCGCTCTGTTCTTCACACACATGCTGCCGGCCTATTTCGTGGATCTTCTCATGTTCCTCATGGGAAAAAAGACCTTGTAAGTGCTTTTTTAGAATTGGTTTTTGGTTGATGATTATTTGGAGTTGGTTTTCGTTTTGCATAATACTCAATTGTCAAGCTATGGGTCTCATAACATCACGCCTTTTACCCCCGAAGGGGCAGGCTGAGGTGCACATTAGGGCACTTAATGCCACTGTACAATGTAACACCCAAATTTACTATTTATGTTATGAGTCCCATGTAATAGGGGGTGAGCCTATTGCCATATACCGGGCACAATTACAGACTTCGTGCTACTACTGAGAATTTTTTTAAAAATCCCAGTAATACTTTGCCTGACCTGGGAATCGAACCAGACCACACAGCCAACGAGGCAGTCTCATTTCATCAAGTCCATTTGCGTCAATTTTAAACTCTTTTAATGATAGTTTAGAAATCAGACACGGACTAGGCTCTTATTAACCAATTCATTAACCTTTTCTTCCTTTACCATCGACTAAACATGATAGGTCTACCTCCTACAACAAATACTGATTGAAATATATATTTTCCAGCATGATAAAAATCCAGAAGCGCATCAATTACGGGCTGGAAGTGTTGCAGTACTACACGACCAAGGAATGGCACTTTACCAACGATTACTTCGTGTCTCTACAGAACAGGATATCTAAGAGAGATAACGAAATCTTCTATACTAATATGAAGGTAATATTATTATGATATTTATTCATCAACAGCCTATAAATGCCCACTGCTGAGCAAAAGCCCCTTCTCACACTGAGAAGGTTTGAGCATTAATTACTACGCTTGCTCAATGCGGATTGGCGATTTCAAAACTTATAATTAGACATTATAAGCTCAGGTTTCCTCACGATGTTTTCTTTCACCGTTTGTCAGTGGTGTTTAGATAATCTTAGAAAGTACATATAACTCGGAAAACGTCACATTGGTACTTGCCGTTGGTAGGTTTCGAACCCGCATCCTCATGCACTTGGCCCACATGTGCCAAATCCCCGTCGTCTTCAGAGGACCTTACCATCTGAACCACTAGAATATTTCCACTGAAATCAATATGCAATGTTTCAGGAGATGGACTGGAGCCAGTACATCAGGAACTACATTAGAGGAGCTCGAGAGTACTGCTGCAAGGAAGACCCTTCCACTCTGCCCGCAGCCAGGAGGCTACAGAAACAGTAAGTAGTCTTCGAATAACTGTCTTTGACGAATTTCAACCAACCATTATTGATTTTTAAGGACATTAAGATTTTTGGTCTAGGTGACACTTAAAGACTTCATTTGGCTAACGTATAAGTGACACCTAACAGAAGAATTAAGTAAGCGCTTAGTTTAGGCCTCGGTATCCTTCACGCTAGTTAATAAGTAAATAGGATATAGTTGAGAGTTTTTTCATTGCATAGACCGGTAAACGAGCAGACAGATCACCTGATGGTAAGCAATCGGCGTCGCCCATGGACACCTAGAACAGTACAGACGTCATTAATCCGTTGCCGGCCTTTGGATTGGGCTGCCGGTAAACTTGTTTATGGAAACGACACGACCGTTGTTGCATTGAGGTTTTCTGTGAAGCCGTGGTATCACTCCGGTGTAGCAGCCAAAGCATGGCTCTTCTATGTGAATTGGAACTATTCCTTCTTGTTCTCTTCTTATAATATAAATACATACATATATAACCTCATGCCTGTCTCCCATGGTGGTAGCCAGAGACTATGGAACGCCAATTGCTACGATTCTTATTTTGTTGCAGGGTTCAAGACAGTTGTTCATGTCCCTGATAGTTGGACTTTAGAATTTCAGTGTTCTTTTATGACATAAGCCAGTAAACGAGCAGACGGATCACCTGATGGTAAGCAATTGGCGTCGCCCATGGACACCTGGAACACCAGAGGCTTTACAAGTGCGTTACCGGCCTTTTGGGGATTAGGAATTTGAGGATCGTTGGGGATTCAGGGATTGGGGAGGTGGGGGTTGGGTAATTGGGCCTCCGATAACCTCACTCATACGATAAAACACAACGCAAGCGTTGTTTCACGTCGGTCTTCTGCTCGGCCGTGGCATCATTCCGGTCGAGCCGGCCCATTCGTGCTGAAGCATGGCTCTGCCACACTTAAACACTTACTTGTTTTTTTTTGTTCACAGATTATACTATCTGGATAAAGCCGTGCAAATCATGGTCGGATTACTAGTATCGTACTTCATTTATTATTATTTTAACATGCTATATTCTATGATCAGCTCATAATGTATGTAAGTAATTTAATATTAATTAATATTAAGTAAAAAATACTTGAACTACAATACATAATTATAGATATTCATTAAAATACTGTTTGAGTAAACTGCAGCTCATGTAGTGTAGATGTCCAGTCAACAAGGATGTAGCGAGGTTGACTGTCCAGGCGACACACGTACTTAGGTATCGTCATGAGCTAATGTTCACATGTAAACAGCAGCTCATGTAGTGTAGATGTCCAGTCAACAAGGATGTAGCGAGGTTGACTGTCCAGGTGACACACGTACTTAGGTATCGTCATGAGCTAATGTTCACATGTAAACAGCAGCTCATGTAGTTTAGATGTTCAGTCAATTTATATTTATATCTAGTTCGAATGTACATGTTCATTAAATGCCAATTTTAGAATAATTTTAGTTTGCAATTAGCCCCACCCTTTTCTGAAATAGTACGATGTTATAGAACATTGTTCAGTAAGACTAAACTCGACATAATAAATCCCTTATTACATGGGACTCATAACATTACGGTAAAATGGAATGTAGCTGCTCACCCCATCTGAATATAAAGAATTAAAATAGATAGTTATGTTGATTGAGAGACGTCCTTTTATATCTTTGTTATTTTTTAAAAATCGTTGGCCCATACTATGAATGTCTCCCTTGTCGTGGGTTCTTTTATGAGGGAAAAAATCATCGAATGACTTCTCCCACCCGGTTGAGGCGGGAGGGAGTGTCAGACTCTTACTGACTAAACACCACTCCGTTCCTACTCCTGCCCTTCGAGCCGGAGCCCCGGCAACCCGTTAAGTCCTCCGTGGCTCCGTATCGGCATCAGCCCTATTGGTTTATCAACTGTGATGGTATAATTACACTTGGAGGCGCGCGCGGATCGGGACGCACCTGTGTCGTGTGTGCGTTTACAAACATACAAGTTCACATACACATCACACCCAGACCCGGAACAACAATTTGTGCATCACACAAATAATCTACAGTTTCCTATTCACATCTCCTCCTTCTTCCTGTCCTTATTCCTAGATACTTATGATCGGAATAATATGTCTTTTTATGTATAAAATATTATATGCAATTCTTTGCCAGACTGTGTTTCCTGAAGGGTATAACTTGGGTGTCTTCAAAGCCCGAGTGAATAGGTTGCTTATGGGACGACGTGCTCCATCGTAGACCGCATCATCGTGCACCACCAGGCGAGATAGTGGTCAAACGTCGGCCCACCAAATATAAAAAAAAACAAAATACCTGTAACTCCTTATTCGAGAATCGAACTAAACATCTTTATGCAACACGTCTCTTATTCAACTTAACTTTAAAATAGATATTATAAGCACCCTGTAATACTCTTTTAAATATAAATTACTAGAAAATATAAGTATTTAAATGTAATAAAAATGTAGTACAGAACGTCCACTCTCGCTGTGCACGGTGGACCTGATAAACCCCGCAATGTGTAGCCATTGGGAGAGGACTGTGGGGGACAGTGGACGGTACGTGGCTGTACATATGATGATAAAATAATCTGTATTAAAATACTTTAAAAATGTATAATAAGTATGGATTTTACAGCTATGTCTGGTGTACAGCAATAGGCTCACCCTCTATTACATGGGACTCATAACATAAATAGTGAAAAGTGGGTGTTACATTGTATAGAACACCTCTGTCTATCCTCTCTGTAATGTACAATAATATTAAGTATTTTAATCGTTTACCTCAATACTATGATAACAATTGTAAAGTACTTTATAATGTGTTAATTAATTACTGAAAATGTATTAAATTCAAATTAAAAATTAAAGTTTAAAAGGTGGTTTTTGTTATTCGCCCATTGTTATTCAAAAGGTTGATAACCCTTTTTTGAAGGGGAATTTAATCATCCAATGACTCCTCCTCCCACCTTGGGTGAGGCGAGAGGGAGTGTCAGACTCTTACTGACTAAACACCACCCCGTTCCTACTCCTGCACTTCGAGCTGGAGCCCCGGTAACCCGTTAAATCATCTGAAGATGTTAATATCCTTGATGGTCGATTAATCGACCGATAATGAAACTGCTGAATTCCATCAAAAAATATAAAATACTAGAAAGAAAGAGGCGTTTTTAGTAAGTACAATGTATATAGGATAAGGCGGCAAACGAGCAGACGGATCACCTGATGGTAAGCAATCGACGTCGCCCACTTTTTGTGCACCCCGCCATAATATTTGGTTAGGTTAGGTTAGAACTGTGACCCTCACAAGGCGCGAGGCGAGCGAGCGTAGTGAGCGGTGCCGCGGCAGCGGCCGCCGAGTGCTGAAAAGCGGTTTCCGCCAACTGACCTTTAGAGCTCATTTACAGGCGAACCTGAAGTCCTAGACAAAAGGTGTCCAGATGATTTTCGCTTTATTATTAGGTATACTAATCGATGGAAATGAAAAACTAACCATTTATAAGAATTTTCATTTTTGATGAAATTTTTTCTTAGTCGTAAACTCCTTGCCCCTAAGACGACCCACTGACCCAGGGATTTGATGATTTAGGGATTAGAAATTGGCTCTCCAGTTACCTCACTCACGCAGCAGCACACAACGCTGTGGTAATGTCACGCCGGTGTACTGTGAGGCCGTGGTATCACGCCGGTCGAGACGACAGAACAGTGTGATGAAATGAAATGTGTTTATTTAGCATTAGACATGAACGCCAGTAATAAAAAAGTATACATTAAATTTAAAACAATAATAAAAAGGTTTAAAAAAGAGATAGAGAGAAAGAACAAACTAATAATAGGTACTTTTTTTTAAGGGGGGAAAATCATCGAATAACTGCTCCCGCCTGGGTGAGGCGGGAGGTAGTGTCAGACTCTTACTGACTAAAAACCACCCCGTTCCTTCTCCTGCACGTCGAGCCGGAGCCCCGGTTACCCGTTAGGTTCTCCGCGACAATAATAGGTACTACATGCTACGTAGTGTTGGCAGACATGCCCAATCGGAATGGGTCACCAACTCAGCAGAAAGCTGGGCATAATGAGCACCGATAGCAGTGCCGAAGCATGGCTCTCCCACACTTAAAAATAATGATCCCTCATTCAACCATGCAATCGAGTTAGTAATACCTTCATAACACTAGTTTTAATTGAACCGTAATAAAACTGCTGTTAAATAATCAGTCAGTTATATACTTATAACTAGGTTAAGTAACTAGAATTTATTTTATAACGTTTTATACCTGTTACAGCCAATGATTGCTTACCTATCGTGGAACAATTAAATCGGTCTTTATGTCGAGGTAAAATCATCCAATGACTTCTCTCGTATTAGGTGAGGCGAGAGGGAGTGTCAGACTCTTACTGACTGAAAACCACCCCGTTCCTACACCTGCACTTCGAGCCGGAGCCCCGGCAACCCGTTAATGCCTTCGCGGCTCCGTATCGGCATCAGCCCTATTGGGCCCTATCTGTGGTGGTCTGATGGCTGTTTGAGCGCGACGCGCCGTGGGCTCAGATTTGGTCGGGCGGCGAGTCACCCAGGCTTACGGTGTCCGGAGATCGTCTTGTGATCCCCGACGCCCATATTGTCTCTGGCGACGGCTGGGGCGTGAGAATGTTCGTTCCCTCACGCTCCCCGCCTCCTCCTTAGCTAACATGACTGCTTTGCAGACGGAGGAGACGGCATCCCAGTCCCCCTCGCGCTAAGTCGTTAACAGCCCAGACTATATACAGCTTCTGTTTGCATTGTTACAGGACTATGAACTTCTGCGTATAAGAAGGGGTTTGTATAATCTCTGCACTTGATAGCTAGATTGAATATCGCTGTATAAAATGTCCAGGTTTATCAGAGAGCCTTAATGCTGCTGTTCTGTCCAATGTGTAGTCCCATATTCGGGTATACGACAGCCGCGGCAAGAGCAGAGGTGGTGACTGTAATGTATTCTACTATGGAATCACCACCAAAATTAACTGTACATAATAGACCGATTTACATAGTTCTACATTTTTAATTTCAATTAATTTGTTTATTAATTTAATGGAACACGTGCGATGCGAATTATACCTACAAATTTACGTCTAGCGATTAATTGACGTATTTCCACGATAATGTTTATTTAAACAATAACAACAAAACATTTTGACTTTTATACATCGAAAGCCGCAGGATTGAAGTGGAACTGGGCTGGTCATGTCTGCCGCATGTCAGACGAGCGGTGGGCTAAACTTACTACTGAGTGGAGCTCACTCAACGTCTGTAGACGTCGCGGCAGGCCCAAAAGGAGATGGCGGGACGAATTAGACATCTATGACAAGGATTGGCCGCATAAAGCTTAACAGAGAGGAGTGGAAGGAGGGTAGGGAGGCCTTTGCCCTGCAGTGGGACGATCATGGCTGAAAATAAATAAATAAACATCGAAAGTAATCGTTATGGTAAGTGCTTTTGCGGCGGCACGAAAACAAAAATAGATTTTACTGTGTAGAACTGTCTAGTATCCTAGGTTTAAAATAAATTGTTTCAACTTTTCAATGCAATAAATAATTAAAAAATAATCATACTCTCATCCATTGATTTGACAATTTAGGTACCTACTTTTGGATATTTTCTCGCTAATTCTAAGGAAATAAGTTTGCTATTTGACGCAGAAATATGATGACGTCATAAGTAGCAATCCAATACAAAACTCATTGAAAAGTATCGTTTTTGACATTTCAATAAAAGTATTGAATTTGACTACCGGTCAACTACCGTATTATCCAAATCGGTGCAGTCGTTCGGGAGGTATGCACGCACATACGTCATACAATTCAGTGACGCACTTTTGTTTAAAGAGTACAAAGAAGTTACCAGTTTTTTTATGAGACAGCTTGGCAGACGGATCACCAGGATCACCTGATGGTAAGCAATCGGCGTCGTCCATGGAAACTAGAGGAGTTGCGCTGTCGGTTGGACCCCCGGACACCTCATTCACACGATGTCACGGCGGTGTACCGTGGGGCCGTGGTATCACGCCCGTCGAGCCAACAC